GGGTGGTTTGGGAGTTGTTGAAAATAAAACTAATGTTGTTAAATGCCAGTCTTTGCCCAGATAGATCCTAAATTAAACTACTGACAAAGACCTCTGTTAGAGAGAGATTCAAGCAAAGGCACAGCAGTAATTAGTGCTTTGCCAGGAATGAACTGGTTCGGTATTTATGGCTTTGGTAAACTCCTATACCTGTTCATCATTATGCTTGAATAAGTAATTTAGAGTGCTTGTTTTCAACAAATTTTCTAATTCTAAGCCTATTTAAAATATCTTTCTGATTCATATATAGTGACCACCTGAAATCCAATTTTATAAGAATACCAGTTCCTAATGAATATGTCCAAATATCTTGGAAAAGCGCATTCAGGAAGTTTGCAGAGACTGTAACTCATTAACTAAGCCTTCCCATCATCATGTATTTGGGGTTCGGATGACATTGTTGGATGCCTTTTGTATTTGGACAAAGATGCCTAGGAGCCATTAGTTATCTGTCAATCATTTACAAATTCTTTCTGAAATCAGTTAGCAAATAATATTTTATCATGATAAACATGTATCCTCAATCATGGTGAATATGCTATGTGTTGGTTCGTATCTGATGAGCTCTGTGGGCTAGTGAAAGTGCTGGAAAATGCCACCTTGGTGTCTAGACTCACTAGATGGAGAAGAATAATAACTAAATATTGAGGAGACTGGGTTTGTTTTGCATTTTCTCCCAGGAAAGCTGGAACACACACTGTTTACTGTCACCAGGCTGAGTTCCACGCACCTGTTATTTACATCACATGAGAACGTGATCTCTTTCTTTCTTTCATAAAAATATGTTCACTTCTCACAAAGTCCTGAGCAACTATTTTTATTAAATTTGCCTGGTAGATAAGCTTCAAAAGACCAAAGTAACTCATTAATGCAATGTTTCCTCATCGTGCCAGTAAGCTTGACAGGAAAGTGAGTAAGAGGGTGACTCCAGAAAATAGTATTTTTAATGTTCTGATAGGACATACTAGGAGTTACTAGAGTTCTAAATCTTTTTTCCCCCTACTTTTATTTTTTTTTATTGAATCACCAGGATATACACAGTTACAAAGTTGTTCATGGTTGGATTTCAGTCATACAATGTTCCAACTCCTCTTCCTTCACCAGTGTACATTTCCCACCATCAATGTCCCCAGTTTCCCTACCGCCACCACCCCACCCCCAGTTTGCCTGCCTCTGTGGCAGGCACTTTCTTATCTCTCTATCTCTCTCTCAATCTCTCTCTCTTTCTCTCTCGCTCGCTCTCTCTTTGGACATTATGGCTTGTAATACAGGTACTAAAAAGATAAAAACTCTAAATCTTCAAAGATGTGCTAAAGTAATGTTATTTAATCCAAAGCACAAAAGAAAACATGGACTTCAATAGGGTCAAATAGTTTCTGTAACTAAATGCATCCAAAACAAAATGAAGGGTTAGGTAGCTAGCACAGCAGAGAAGGCACTCACCTTGCACAGGGTCAAACCAGGTTGGATTCCCAGCACCCGACATGGTCCCCTATGCCTCACCAAAAATGATGAGTGAGCACAGAACTGAAAGTAAACCCTGAGCACTGCTGGGTGTGGCCCAAACAACAAAGTAAAAACCAAAATAAAATACACACACATGTGTGGAGCCCCAAACTACCAAGATTCCATTCATCCAAGCATGATTTGGGCTAAGACTCAAGGTCACACGAACCATGTTCATTCCTTAATAATATCCAAATTTGCATCAAGCACTCTGTTATAAGCATTTTCTATACCTCACTTCCCACAGCAAAAATGATTGGATATTTTGGTCGTTTTTAATTATGGAAATTTCAAGAACTAAAGAGATCAGGGCCTAGAGAGATAGCCCAGAGGCTAAGATGCTTGCCTTGCATACTACCACCCTTATTCCATCCTGACGTTGTATATGGTCCCTCAAGCACTGACAGGAGTGATTCCTGAACACAGAGTCAGGAACAGCCTCTAAGCACCACCAGATGTGGCCCAAACCTCCACTACCCCCCACCCCCCAAACAGGATTACTTCTGGTTCTGCAGTCAGAAATCACACCTGGCAATGCTTGGGGAACCATATGGGGTGCCAGAGATCAAACCCAGGTCCACCGCATGCAAGACAAGTGCCTTACCTGCTGTGTTATTGCTCTGGGCCCACTAGAGCACTTATTTTGCATGTTGTGAGGTCCTAGATTTGATCCCTCTATGGCAAAAATAAACAAATAGGTCACACATTGTTTTGCACCAAAAATAGGAAGAGAAAAGGATGCAGAAGTGCTGAGTTCTCTGATTCTAAATTCCAGGCTTTTACCCGCTACCTTTATTCCTACCACAAGCTTCTAATATGCTCCAAGGCTGAAAGAAGCTACACTTTCCCAGGTCTATAAGCAGTGTGTCGAACAGATTTGAAAGATTATGCTGTTAGATAGACTGAAGAATATGTAAGTCTTAAGAAACTTGTATCCAACACTTTGGCATGCTAAAAGAAACCCTACACATTCTAAAGTAGCTACGTTGTAAAATGTGCCCCAAAAATGTAACATACTCCTTCTGAGTTTTCACTTAAAAACTCAAGAAAAGTGGAGGAAAACCAGGTTCATGTTTTGAAAGGACATTTTTGAAATCCACTATGTATTTGAAAGAAAAAAAACCACAAGTAAATAATATTCAACATGTTTTTAGTGCAAAGTAGACTGGATTAGTTATGTATCTACTACTAGAACCTTCAAATCATAGGACCTGGATCAATGGTAGAGAGAGATGCCTCAAATTTGAGGCTCTAGGTTCCATTCCCAGTACCAACACCCCCACCACACACACAAACACACACACACACACACACACACACACACACACACACACACACACCACCTTAGCGCTCAGGGCCAGGGGAAAGACTCAAAGGACTAGAACCCAGACTTTGTAGGCAGTGGACCTGCGTTCCATGCCAAGATGGTCACCACATGATTTTCAGAGCACCACCCAAGCATTTGCCAGGAGTAGCCCCCTGAATGTGACCCAAACAAACAATCAAAAAAACTCAAAGGAAAAAGAGCATGTCCAGAAAATTCTATTTTCTCTGGTTGAGGGGCTGGAGCGATAGCACAGCGGGTAGGGCGTTCGCCTTACAAGCGGCCAACATGGCCGACCTGAGTTCGATTCCTCCACCCCTCTCGGAGAGCCCGGCAAGCTACCGAGAGTATTCGATATGCCAGACACAGTAACAACAAAGTCTCCAATGGAGACGTTACTGGGCCCGCTCGAGCAAATCGACGATCAACGGGAGGGCCTTTACCTTTTACCTTCTGATTGAGGGGATTACCAGCTCTTTACTTTGCAAGAAGCAGTACCTGTTTCAAGGATGACCAAGTGCCTTTCTGAGCAAGACTTGATCAAATAACAGACAGTCTGAGATATTTCCACCATACCCAGACCATAGTCAGGATCGTGGCCACTGGACGCCCTGGTTTCCAGGGGTCATCCACATGCCCACATGCCACCCAGCCTGGTCTGGATGGGGTGCTGAGCCAGCTCTAAAAATGTATAATGCAATGTACCAGCATTTACAAACTTGGCCAAATATGTTAATGTAAACTTTTCAAGTTGTCAACAAAAGGTATAACATTTAAGATACACGCATTTTTTTGAGTAGTATGACATGTTATTGTTTGTTTACTTAAAGAATGAACAGCAAAGAACTAATATGGACATTAATAATCACTCAACACCTTTTTAGTTTGAAATACATATTTACTTGCCCAGATAAAACTTTACTCACCCTCCCTTGTGCGTATATGTAGGTGATTAAATTTCTACCCTGGGGTTGGCGGGATAATCAAGCTCAAGCGCCTGAGGTAAAGCAGTTACTCCCTTTCATGTGGACAATCCCCATTCACTCCCTGATACCCATATTGTCAGAAGTACCAGCAGTGACAATTGTGCAGAGACAGTGATAGTTTCTGAGCACTTACTTCCAGGTGTGGCCCTAAAGCTCCAAAATAAATAAGTAAATAAATAAATAAATGTCTGCCATTTAGATGTTACCCATGTGTTTATATATTACATATACTTCCCTTTTCTGTTTTGGATTTTGGGGGGTCACACCTAGCCATGCTCAGAGCTTACTCCTGGTTCTGCACATGCATTGCCCAAGAATCCAGATTTTATTCATTTGACCCATAGGCATACTGGGGTGTGGAGGAACCCTACTTTGGGCCTAAAACTACCCTGGATCATTTTAGTAATAATTCTTTCATGGTGAAGGGTCATGTAAGCAAAAAACTTTACATCAAAGGCAAATGTATTGTAGCTTTATTGTTTTGCCAGATTCCTCTCAAAGTAATGTTTGACTTTATTGAGAGTTAAAGAGATTGACTCCCCTGGAAAACCAAGGGACCAAATGTATAAGTAAACTCAGGTTAACTGCTCAGCACAGGAAGAGCTTTGCTACAAAAGTTGTCTGAGCAAGACATGAATAAACAGATGCCCCTAAGCTTCAAGAGGCTACCAGTCATGTTCCAAAGTGTCAATCATATCTCTAGCCATCCCTTAAAGAATCACTGCCTGCCAATGTTATCATCTAAATATATTTGCAGAGGTCAGACGAGCTGCGTCTGTCCTCTCCCGGCAGAGGTGATGACATCTCAGGGGATATGTCACAAGCCTAAGTTTAGTTAGTGGATTTCAGCTGGTTTGGCATTTTATCCAACCCAGTGTGATCTCCTGACCCCTCTGGTTTACAAGTTTCCACTCTCTGTGCCGCATCGCACCTCTCCACTGCGGAGTTAATCATTGCTTTGCCATTATCTGCCAAGAGTTCTTATCTCTTTTGCTGTCACTTTATAACAGGGTCCTCTTATCAACCTGCCTGGAGACACGTGATCAGTGCAGGCCTATCGAAAGTTTCCATTCTTCTGATTAGAACCCATCGTGAAACTGGATTCATGGTTTACAGCAGGCCACTAATGCTGGAAAAAGTACAGAGTCCAGGGAAAGACTTGCTTGGAACTTTCTGAATTCTTGGATTTTTTCCCCCCCACTTTTTCTTACTTTCACTAAGGGTTACTATAGTCTGAAGTGTCCTCTCCAAGGCCACAAAAATTGACAAGCTGCACTTTTTTCTTCTGCTCAATGATTTCTGCTTTAAGCCAAAGGACTGCCTATAATTTCACAAAGAATGTCTTCTAATGCGGATACTGGGGATTTACAAGACTCTCTAAAGCTCGGATTTCCACCTATTGGTAAGTAGGAGTTATTCTATTTATCATCTATGTATTATTCTGTTATTACAGTGATACACACTGTTTTACTGCTCTAGTGTCTTTAGTATTGTAAACCACTGTTTTTATTCCCCTGTGGTGTTTATTAAAAGCAAATAAGCCCATGTATATATCACACATTTTTCTTTCTTGGAGTTTAAAAAAATAAAAGGATGTCAAACAGTCATTACATCCAATTTGTGGATGTCATTATAGTATCAAAAAGCAGGCAGAAAATTTAATACACACCCCATTTCATTCCTACAATCTTTCAAATACCTTTTACCAGAAATAATGTGCCAAAATTTGAGCAACCTGAAACAAGTTAACCATATGGAACTGTCATTGAGCTCATTGAGCACACTTTTTCAGACAGCTTTCTGAACTACTTGCAAAGTTTCAAGTCACACCACACTGTACAAGTACTGTACATGAATACAAGATACACAGTACAGTACAAGATACTGTAGAAAATCTTTGGGGTTTTTTGGCAAATGCAAAGAACAAAACAAAACAGGGAGAGGAGATGATTAGTTAGGAAAATGATCATTTGTTTTCTAAAATGAGGATGTCTTGTTTTTTATACACATAAGTAAATAAAGCTAATTTTTCTTTTAAATAAATGGGAAGCCACATTCAGTTTTACAGCAAGAATACATTCAATTAACCTTCGAGTGAAGACGGAAGGGAAGGAATTCCCAGAAGACTGTCACTGGCAGTCTGTTAAAAAGCATACCTTTATTGCTTTCCCCCAGTTATTGAAGAACCTATGCTATCTCGTAGCACTTTCTCGGGCTTTTGGATTGGAATGTCTCTGCCAATTTGCAGAGAGGGCTGGCAGAAGCGCTGAGTGCCAGGCCTGCTGTAAAAGAAGGAAAATGAAGGCTTGGCATTTTCCACTTCCCTCCTTCATAGCCAGCTGATTCCAGTCAATGCAGTGATTGCGTTTTTTATGGGCCAACTACACCCTAAAGTATATCAATTGAGGAAACGGTTACTAAAAAAAAAGTTCTGTACTTACGAAGAAAATAAAAAAGAAAAACAGGGAACCCAGGAAAGAGAGACAGAATGTCATTGAAAACGTACAGCTCTGCAGATAAAAAGTACCTAGAGGTACGAGAGAGGGGCAGAACTGGCTAACAAATTCTGTTTTTTTCTGGCTAACCTTCCCGCAGCCGCTGGGCGTCAGGGTCTCCCTGAGCGCGCGCTCCAGCCGGGCACGAGGGAGGCGCGCGCACCGGGCACAGCGCGCTCCGACGCTTGCGCTCGCGCCCGCACCCGGCCACGCAGGGGTCCCCGCGGCTGGCGGGATTTGTGTTTCGGTCTCAGTCCCGAGTGTGTCCGAGAAACCACACACGCCGACCTTTTTCTGCCTCGCCACGGCGTTCTTGCAGCCCTGTGGATGAATTCGAGGGGCGTCAGCGGGGGAGGGAAGGCGCTTCTGCTACCGTATTTTGCTCTCTGCTACCGTATTTTCTTGATCGCGCCCGGTCTCACACCGATCCCGAGGTGCCCCCAACCACTCTCCCCCGGCCCGGCTCCAAGAAAGAACCCCAGAAGCGTGTCATCTGCCGGGTTCTTAGCACTGGGGATCAGAGAGACATCAGTCTAATCGGGGGCGATTGTTAGAGATCGAATCATAGAAGTATCGAAGGAGGGCACAGCCAGTCCCAGCGAGCGAGCATGTCCCGGCACCCCAGCTGTCCAAGCACTTCCGGGAGCAGATCCCCACATGACAACATTCCAGTGCATTTTCCGGTAAAAGTTTCTTTCCGGATCCCACCGCACCGTCCCTACCCCACCCCCATACCAGCACCCCCTCCCCCTTCCCTGGAATTGTTTGCCTCACAGGTGGCTGGGAGATGTTCCCATTTGCAACATGCCAGTCACCTCCAGGTGACTGCTGGCACCTGTTTGCCGTGTGACTCCAAGGAGCCTAAGAATCATGCCCGGGTCCCAGGGCTGAAACTGTCCCCCAGAAGGCAGAGGTTAGAGAAGGCACAGTGCCGCGACTGGAGGGTTGGGCTGAAGGGGCTGGCCCATATCAGAAAGTGAGTTGCCTTTGAGATTGGGGTGGAGGTGGGTGTCTTTTGCCCAGGGTAGGACCCTGAAAAGCAGCAGCTGTGAAGAGTGGCCAAATTCCCAGGGGAAGACTTTGGGATGATAAATTACCTGTGAGTCTGAGGGATTGGAGGAGGTTTGGTTCACAGCTCTGGGCTCAATGCAAGTAGAGATCAATGAGATTTCATGTTAAGTAATAAGTTGCTTGATATTGGAACATGTGTCTGCTTACACATTTGCATATGTATATGTATACATATGTATTAATGTCTACTGGAACTAGGTGGACTGACAATTTTCTTCTGGGGATGAAGAAATTGGTGGTTTATGTGAAAATTGTGGACAAATCTCTCTGCTCATACAGAGGAATGAAGAGCAAGTGGTTCCTTCTGCCTGCCTGTAAAACAATGATTTCATGGACTACAGATTCCTACCACAACCAGATTTGTGAACTCTGAGCTAAATGTTCACTAGCTTCTGAGACTCTATCCGGATTCTTAGATTCTGCCACTATCTTTTTCCTTCTCTCAAATGGGGTGATTCTACTGAAAAAGAAACCATGCTAATTTCAGAGAGAGAATAAAATGCTCATCTGCATCAACAAAAATCCAGTCTGGGTGGTAGAAACACATCCTATAATAAGTCTTAATTGATCCTCCTGCCAGGTGCCAATATGTTGCTTTGATTCTTCCATAATTTTCAAACTAAGTCCCTCCACAGACTGTTTTGAGAACATTCAATATAAAAATGTATGCTCTCCATGGGAAGCTGTGTTTGCATATAGCCAGGGCTATACCACAGGCCACCCTTTTGAGACTGATGTAGCTTGTAATCTGGTCTCTCTTTAACATTCTGAAGTCTGATTTTAATCCCAAGCTCTGTTCCCGTAGAATCTTGGAAAGTAGATGTCACCCAATGGACAGTGAGATGACCCAAGTCACCTGACTAACCAGCATAATTTGCAATGCAGGTGAGGATGCATGAAGCAGCAGAACTCTCCAGAAAAATTAAGTGCACCCTCCTTTCCCATCCTGACTCTGAGGTGGTGTGTCCCAAATGCCCTTTCCTGGCCTGGTCCTCCACTTACAGCAGAATTAGTTGGTCTTTAGCACCTTTGAACAAAGCAGAAGAGATAAGTGAAGGGAGAACAGAGACACTGTAGTTCTTTTTTCCCTTTATCTGACCCCATTCCCTGAATGCAGTGTCTAAGATTATCTCAGGTTTAGCCTTGGACTTGAACTAAAACAGAACTAAGAGGGGCAGACTTCCTACTCAGAGGCTCAACCCCTCCCAATAATCTCTAGCACTTATTTATTTATTTATTATTTGGTCTTTGGATCACACATGCCTGTGTTCAGAGATTACTCCTGGTTCTGTGCTCAGTAATCATTCCTGGCAGGCACAGTGATCCATATGGAGTGTTGGGGATCAAACCTGTGTCCACCGCATGCAAGGCAAGTGCCCTGCCTGCTGTACAATCACTTCAGCAGCCTTCAGATCTTTCTTTCCTTTCTTCCTTTTTTTTTTCTTTTTGGGTCATACCTGGTGATGCTCAGGGGTTGCTCCTGGCTCTGTACTCAGAATTATTCCTGCCAGTGTTCTGGGGACTATATAGGATTTTGGAGATAGAACCAGGTCCACCACATGCAAGGCAAACACCCTACCTGCTGTATTATCACTCTGGTCCCCTCCAGCCCTTTCTATGCAGGCCAAGACTCAGACACATTTCCTGTTCCCCAAGTCCAACCTACCTCCAGATAAAGTTACTTCTCTGCACATCTTCCGTCTACCTTATTGGAGCAAAAACTGAGAAATCCAGTAGACTTCAAGGAACTTCAAGATTTTGGGGAGTGGGGGGTACACCCAGCAGTGCTCAGGGGTTACTCCTCACTCTGCATTCAGGAATCACTCCTGGCATTGTTTGGGGGACCATATGGGATGTTGGAGATCAAATCTAAGTCAATCATGTTCAAGGCAAGCACCCTCTCTGCTGGAGTATGGCTCCAGCTCAAAAGCTTGAAGATTTTGAGGCCTTATGTCTCTGAGGGCACTGAGAAAGGATTGAAACATAACTAGTGTGGGTGAGAATTTGAGAGACTGAGCCTGAGATAACCAGAGGGACAAAAATGGACCAAGTTAGTAAAGGCCATGTCAGTCTCGGATCTGGGGGAAGTTCCATTATATGAGATTTTGTGTAACTGATAGTATGGTATGCTTCACCTTTAAAGAAAAAAAGAGCGAGGATTTTCAGACAAGTCTTACCTGCTGTACTATCTCTCCAACCCCCAATGCCTAACATTTATTTATTTATTTATTTATTTTTGCTTTTTGGGTCACACCCAGCTTTGGGGTTACTCCTGGCTTTGCATTCAGGAATTACTCCTGGAGGTGCTTGGGGGACCATATGGGATGCCGGGGATTGAACCCGGGTCAGCCGCATGCAAGGCAAACACCCTACCCGCTGTGCTATCGCTCTGGTCTCCAATGCTTAACTTTTAAACTCTTCATCTGAATACAGAGGAGAACAAGGCTTTCTGTTTGTTTGTGGGCCATGCTTGTCGGTGTTCAGGGCTTACTCCTGGGTCTGTGCTCAGGGATCACTTCTGGCAGAGCTTGAAGGAACCACAAGGACTTGCCAGGCATTGCAAAACATTTAAGTTCACCAGTCTCCCACTGGACTGCTCTTAATAGTCCTACAAGGACAGTGATACCCCTCTTACTATCCTCCCAGAAAGAATTTGGGTGAAGTAAAGGGAAAAAAGAGAAAAGGTGAAGAACAGATACTTCTAAAGAAATAGAGTGCACTATTGTGTGTGTATTGTGTGTGTATCTATTTTTATGTATTTTTATTTAGAAGCTTTACTTCATAAACCCCATTTTAATGAGAGATGGGGATGGGGGTGGAAGTAGCAATCTGATGA